ATTTAAGCCCCTACATTAAGCACATCCTGCCCTTGGAGCTCTTAGCCCCAGGCCACACAGGTGCTTCTGAGAGCCTCTCGATTCGCAAACTCTGCAAACTCCTCCACCTGTCTCCAGGTTTAAGAGTTCAAGGTGTAAGGTTTCTTTAGGTTTTGGGGTTCAGGTTTTGGGGTTCAAGGGTTCAGGGTGTAAGGTTTAGGATTTGGGGTTTAGGGTTGGGGTTTAGGGATGGGGGAGTCTAGAGTCGCGCGTTTACAGAAGGTTGAGGTCTAGGGTTTCGGGTCTTGCGGTTTAGGGTTTAGGACAACCTACCAGATTCTGCTCAGTTGTTGCATCCCCATGTTAACCTTCCAGAACCCTAAGGGTCCAAAGGACCCAATAATCAGGTACTTGGGTTTAGGATATAGTTATGTAGCTCAATATTTATGAGAGTATATGATTATTAGGTACTTGGACGCTTATAGCAAGTCTTGAGGTTGGTGGGGTTCGGTGTTTGGGAATTGACTTTTCCGAAGCACAGCGTCGTTTTTTGGATTGAAGGTTTCGGGTTTGCAGGTTAGGACAAAGCGGAGGGCCCTCGCCTGAAAGAAGCAAAGCTGGTGCTGCAAGCGTACAGCAATTGTCTTCAAGACCCGTCCGGGTGCAACCCTGAAGTGATACTGTTCATGGTATAGATCCTGCACTACCCTAAGGACCCTAAACTATGTGAATTATGGCAAATTCCTCATGATGGGCTATGCAGGATTTATATTATCAACCGCAGCCGCTCAAGTCTTTGAGTCCTATCGGCTGCTAGGCATAGTGATCTTGGGGAAGTCTGGGTGCAAGAAGAAACCATGAGAGCCCTGAACCCCGAAACCCTAAACCCCTACACAGTGCCGAAGCCTTGGGGACATAGAAGCCTTGTAGTATGTAGGGCTCTGCAAAGTTTAAGAAACCGCCACACAAACCATGAGGCATAGATCGCTAGACCTCAAAACCCCTTATAGCACAGGTTTCGAACCGTAGCACTAATAGTAGTTGTAAAACTAGCAGTATAACAGTTATAATAGTAGTAGTAATAGTAGTTGTAATAGTCATGGTACTACTGACAAGAACCCTTAAAGGACCCTAAACCGACCAACGCTTAGGTCTGATAGCTGGGCCGATCCGGACCTCGGCATCATTGGCCAAACCTTCCGGCTCGTCCTCCTGAAACAGCAGGGCTTCAGGGTTTAGGGTTTAGGGGTTTTAGGGTTTCGAGTTTAGGGTTTAGGGGTTGAGGGTTTCGAGTTTAGGGTTTAGGGGTTTAGGGCTTCGAGTTTAGGGTTTAGGCTTCTAGGCTTTGGGGAAATGGGTTTTAGGGCCGGAGGCGTTGAGTGACTGTGAAGCCCTAAACCTTTAAACCCAAACCCTAAATCTTTAAACCTATCCTGCAACCCCAGGTCCTAGACTGAACCTCCAAACCCCTCATAAAGCTCAGTCAGCCCCAAACTCAATTTTCTCCTTGACTTCCACAGTCTACAGGCTAAGGTGGGCAGTTTCGAGAAAACGCTGAGAGTGCTCAGTTTTTTCAGCTTTAGCACTCTGGTGTTTCGGCTTGGGGTCTTGGGTTCTCTGTTCACTCTACAGGACAGAAGCTCCGACATCCAAACATCCGAATCGCTGCAACCCTCCAAGACCGTGGCGGCTCAGCGCTTAGGTCATCTTGCAGCCTTTCTGAGGGACTGAACCCCCACCCGCAAATATCTCAAAAGGCGGTCGAGCTCTGTAATAGTCTCCCCTGCAAGGGGTACCACAGGGTTCTATGCTAGAGTCCGCTTCATAGAGCCCCAAAACAGCACATAAACAAAAATTAGGATAGAAGTATCCCATATAAAGCCCAATAAGGTAGGGATATCACCATAAAATGCTTATGCTTATGTGTGTTTTTGGGTCCCCGGTCACGAATGGGTTTCAGAACAAATCGGTCCTCGTAGGGCGTCAGTGCATCGCAGCAAGGACTGCCTGGCAGCCTGGACCAAAGGAAGGCCTACTTGGAGGTTCATGGGTACCGGGTAGCTATAAGTGGAGTTTTAAGTCCCCTAATATGGGTTATAACTATAGGTACCCTACTTATATAACTCCACATATAACTACCCATGAACCTCCAAGTACGCCAGCTCTCCAGAGGGCCTATCTAAAAAGCCTACGACGACTGGGGGAGCCTGAAGGCCCTATCTTATAACATATGGGTGGTTGTCAAAATTACGGTCCCTTTTTGGGGCACCCTAACTATTAGGTGCCGTACTGTAATAGGGACCCCAAAAGGGACCATAATTTTGACAACCACCCATATATGTTCGGAAGCCCATAGACGTGAACCAAGCCGGAGAAAGCTACGTCGCTGGGAGCTTTGGCAGCCCTTTGGTAGTCTTTGTAACAGTATAGATTGGATACTCCAGATGCTCAAGACGGCGTGTCGGAGAAAACATCTTGCAGCTTTCAATACGCGTGAAGAACTTGGGGTCGTGCATGCTGTGAGCTTAGGGTGCTGTTTAAAGATTAACCTGACATGGCTATGCAGTCTTCAATGTTCTTCTTGGCTCTGTCGCATTGCTGCGCTTGCCAGGATACGTCTGATGTATCGCATGCGTGTATAATCGACGCATGTTCTTGATGATCGTGCAAGCAGTCTAGAAGCGGCTGCTTGGAAGGCGTGTGTTGTTGTAGTCCATATGAAGTCGCGCTCACCAGGAAGAAGGCAGGGCTATCTGTCGGGAAGTATGGCATTGACATCCAAGCCCTCATTTACTATAGTGTTAACGTTAACTATACATATAATGCCCATATTGATGTGGTCTAAAGTTGGCTTAGAATCGATGGACGTTGGCAGGCGGTTCACGAGCCTCCGTGGGTACTCGTCGTCATCATCCATGCTTGCTATCTTTGGCGCAGCATGAGGGAGAAGCGGATGTGTAATGTAGGGGCCTTCATCATTAGAATAGGCTTTTGGGGCATTCTACTATGTTTATAAGAATTATAAGGAAACCCCCAAACAGCATGAGGGAGAAAAAGGTGTGTACCCTGCGTAAGTTTGGTATAGTCTAGTCAAAGACTGCTGCTGGTCTGAGGAGGGAACGTCTGCACGGTGCTGGTCAGTGCTGGCTCTGGACTTTCTATCCGCAAAAATATTTCAGTAATTAAGGTGTAGGCTTCAGGGTTCATGGCTGAGCATCTCCTTTTGTGATTTTGGCGCCCCGACTGGCGCACAGCCCGGAAGTGTCAGCACGTTCAGCTGCACTCTCAAAGGGGTTTGCAACACAACATGCTTCCAGAAGGCCTTCGGCTTGCAATCATTGTCGAATTCCTAGACCAGCATAGACCTCTACTGACGAATGTCTCACCATGCCGAGAATGTGAACAAACATGCGAATGGACAAGGCTGGGGCAGCGCTGACGGGCCGCCACTGCCGGCAAGTGCATTGACTGAAAGGGGCCGGCTTAACACAGCACTTTCGGCTCGAATCTCAGTAGGAGCAGGGGTGAGGGCGGAAATCGGGAGTTTCCGAAAATTAGGGGTACCTTGTTTTGGGGTCCTTATATTAAGGATCTTACTATTTAGGGTATTTTTATTAGGGTCCCCTATTTCTTGGCCCATGGGCAAGTTGCCAGCTTTTGCGATCTGCGAGAGATGTGTCTCAGCCGATGTTCGGCTTTGAGGCGGCTTTCAGGCAGCTTCGCGCCTTTCCCTACTTGTCGGGTATCATGGGGAACTCAAGGTTAATTAACAACTTTTTGGTTAAGTTATATAGGGACTATATAGGGACTATACTACCCAAAAAAGGCTAAAGGTTACCTACCCGCCTACTAGGTGTCAGTGCTCTCCGCAATGCTTCTGCCCGGCGTCTCTGCCTGTGTGCAGGGCGGCGACATTTAGGCGAAGACTACACGGTTTGGTGTCCTCGCCGAGGTTTCAGATCTCTTGCCGGAAGTCTCTTGAAATAGGGGCGTGAATCATGAGAATACGGTTTTGGGGGGGCCGTTATACCATAAGGAACCCCCGAAACAGTATTGGTAATTATTTAGGCCCCTATATGGGGGTTTCCGAAAATTAGGGGTACCTTAATTTGTGGTCTTTACAATAAGGATCCTAATATTTAGGGTGCTATATTAGGGTCCCCCATTTTCGGAAACTCCCATATACTAAACCCTTATGGTACACATATAGGATCCCTTAAATGAGCGCTTTATGGGAACCCTATGGTAATTATTAAGGCCCCTATATTACAGCCTGCACGATGAATCAGTCCTCAAGCTCAAAGCCGAAATTCCCATACCTGACGCCCTGGATTGTGACTTCCCCTTGTAAGCCTAAGGCTAAACCCTACCAACCCTAACTACAAGCCCGGTAAACCCTTAAACTCTTGACTCCAAGGGGGAACAGGAGGGACCCTTAATAGGGACCCCTAGGAAATATGCCCTTAATATAGCCATTTCCTTTGCCCCTTTGATTGACCCTCGATGAGCCCTTTATCATATGAGCCCTTAGCCCCTTTAGCCTTCATAATCTAAGCCCTGAACCCTGAGCTCCATATAAAAGTAGTTAGTGAGCATGCCGCAACTCTGAACCCTGAGCCCGAAACCCTGAACCTAAAAACCCAAACGCCACACCGTAACCCAACACCGTAAACCCCAAACTCAAATTAAACTCAAAAACCCTAAACCCTAAACCCGAAATGAACCTAAAAGCACTAAACCCTAAACTCTGTTCCCAAAATCCAAAACCCAAAAACCCTAAACCCCAAATCCCAAAACCCTAAACCCCAAATCCCAAAACCCTAAGCCCCAAAACCCAAAAGCCCAAATCCCCAAACCCAACAACCCCAAACCCCAAAACCCAAAATCCCAAAACCCCAAATCCCAAAACCCTAAACTCCCCAACACTATCCCCAAAAACCCAAAACCCCAAATCCCCAAACCCCAAAACTCTGAACAGGCCTATGCCCGTCTTGGCCTCCCAGGGGGCTGAAGAAACTCCCTCAGTCCGCTTTCGGCTCCTTGGACTCCGCTGGCGCTGGCACCTCACGGGAGGATCGGTTTAGGAGTTTGGAGAGTTTAGGAGTTTGGGTTTCGGGGAGTTTAGGGTTTTGGGTTTAGGAGAGTTTAGGATTTTGGGTTTCAGCTCTCAGTGCCCACAGACAGTGGCACAAAGGCAAAGAGGTAGCCTGTCTCGGGTCACAGGCGTCTGTGCTGGCACGGCTGTGGGGCACAGGAACTGATGCCAGGGGCAAAGGCATACAGTCGACCCATGCACCCTTTGTTGGGGGAGTTTAGGGTTTTGGGTTTAGGAGAGTTTAGGATTTTGGGTTTCGGGTTTGGGGTTTAGGAGAGTTTGGGGGTTAGGGTTTAGGAGTTTCAGACTTTTTGACTACAGTGCGATGGCTTCCTTCTGCATGTGGCGAAGTTTAGAAAGTTAGGATTTTTAGGCTTAGAGGTATAGCGGTTTTAACGGCTTGGGGGGCTCCTTTTTGTAACAAGGGTCCTATAAAGGTTTGATTAAGTGAGGGCTGCTTTGAGCAACAAGGGTTCCTTCAAAGGGTTCTACAAAGGTCTTAGAAATTGTTCCGACAGACAACAGAAATTCAAGTACTTTGGGGTCTGGTGTTGTCATTGTGATGCAAGTTGGGGGATTGACACCACGAGCGTCGATGTCTACGGCATGAGCTGCCTCCGTCAACTCCCGATAGAGAGCAATGGTGATCTGAATCCCGAGGATGACTGCAGGTCCTGTCGGCGATCGGGCTTCGAATCGATGCGAAGCTGAGCAATAAGTTTTCTGGTCTTAGTAATTGCGAGCGAGAAACATGTGCCAAGCTTTCGTTGTGTGGCCTCTTGCCGGCTTGTTCGCGGGATAGGAACTCTGCGGCACCCGCGCTGTCTCCTACAGTGTCTGAAATTCCTGACAACTTTCCCACCTGTCGCCATCAAGATGATGATGATCATCATGACCTCAGGCTGAACATGCGGTGTGGGATTTTAGGGGAGGTCATGTTCGATATCTCCAGAATGTATCCTTCCTTGGACAATGAGATTCAGATAAGCCCCGAACAGCAAGCCCAACCCGCGATTCTGAAGCTCCAAACTCTAAATCCGGAACCCTAACCCGTAATCCCTAAACATCCCTGAACGATAAACCCTATAAAGTTCCTAAATCCTGAAGCCGAAACCGTAATCCCTGAAGCCGAAACCAGAGCTCTGCGGTCCTCGCCTTCACAGCCGGGAGCCGCGTGCATCAAAACTTAGCACTGCTATTCCCTTGTCATGGCTATGTAATGTACTTACCTTTGGTTAGTAGGGAATGAAGGAATGATAGTAATATATAGCATAATAGTACCCATTCCTTCATTCCCTACTAACCAAAGGTAAGTGTAGTGTGCTTGCTTCCCACATCGAAGCTCCTCAGCACAAAGAAAGGCTCGGCGGCACATACGGTGGCTTTGGAAAGGGGAAAGTTGAAACAAAAGGGAAGTCTTTCGGGGAGGAGCAGGCCTGCAGGGACCACTGCTTCTCAATCTAGTACGACGACGAGGTGTATACTTTAGAGTCTGAAGCTTTGGGTCTGGAGCTCGAGGTTCGGGGTTTATGGGTAACCTTCGAAGAGCAAGCGGCAGGAGCCGCAGGAAGGTAGAAGTGTAGGGACTGCGGGGGAGTGCACAGGCTGCAGGGTGTGTGGACTGTAGCTCATCCGATCGAACCCTGATCCCTCCCCGCCTCCGCCACGCAATAAGCAGCCAAATCGGGCTTCAGAAAATTGTGAGGCCAAAATGCGGACGTGGCCCCACCAACATGTACCGATAACAGAGAGGCGCTCTTTCCGAAGGATGCAGCCGGACCAAAATGCGCATAACGGGACACGAGCCCCGAAACATTTACTGCACCACAGCGCGAGTCACATTCCTGCCGCCAACTCACGAGAGCCAAATAAAGGCGACCAAGGAACCTGCTGGTTGGTGGCACTGCGGGACCAGTCCAATTCCTTTGCAGCTAGCTGGCGGCAGAGGGTTTAGGCTTTGTTTCCGAATTTCCGGCTATGTAGTCCCCTTGACGCAAGACCTAGTCGAACAGATTTGGGTTCTATGAAAGACAATTGTAGGAAGACCTCTCTGCCATCCACCAGTCCAGCCACAAAATAATGCATGGTCGAACAAACCTCCACCACCTTAAGGACGAAATGAACCCTAAAAGGGTTTCAGGTTCATATGCCAGAAAGTGATTCATTCATAGTGTATGGGTATAGGACCTCTACTTTTGAGGGTCATTTGGTCCTTCAGGCAGAAGTGACATCTGCTACCTGTGAGGCAATTGGCCCTTGTCAGGACGGTGAACATGCCGTAGATGCTTGGTACTGGCCACAGCCACTCCCAGTAACAACGAAACCATATACTGAGCATGCAAACCCTAAACCCTAAACCCTAAACCAACGGTTGGACGTCTGGGTAGGCTTAGCCAGGTTTCGATGGAACTCAGAATACTCCAGACCCAAAGCCGAAAGCCCTGCTAAACCCGGAGAGCCCCCGAATGCCTAAACCCCGACAGCCTGAAGTTTACATCCCAAAACCTGAATGTTTATGAATTGGGGTTTAGGGGTGTAGGGTTTAGGGCTGCCTGTTGCAGCGTTGGGTGCAGCAAAGTTTTGGGGCGGGGGAGTAACGAGGCAAGGTGCGTTGGCTTTGTAGCAGGAAGTCAGCGAGACCGTCGCAAGCGCCAACACTAGCAGGATGCTTTCGCTGTTGTTCCAGGCCTCCCACTTGCTAGTGGCCGAGACAGGCTAGCAGCAACGCGAACACGAATGACTCTAACAAGGGTCACAGGATAATGGTCATCCTCATCATCGTCAACATCATCAGCAGCACCATCATCATCACGACAATCACCATCGCCATCATCATCAACATCATCATCACCATGGCCACCCTCATCCTCACCAACATGACCATCATCAACAAGCAAGACTTGAACTAACCTGACACCAGCTGGCTTTGGTTTTCCGGCAGGGGGTAAGCTCTGCGGAAGCTCGCAACCGAAGCAGCTTCGGGTCTTCGTCAGAAGTCGTCTGGCATTCAGGTTGAGGGACTTTTGGAGTTTACCGCATAGGTCTGCCCTTCCTTCCGCCCGCGCCCCTCAACCCTGAGCCTTCGAGACATAGGGTGCGCATCGGTGGTTCATCACCAGTGAGGTCAGCAGGATCACGCTGATGCACTCCATTTGCATCGAAGCGTGTAGCCTTCGTTAGGTGTGAAGCCCAAAACCGATGCTTAGGTAGCCAACTGAGGCGGGAGAACACACTTGCTTCTGACTTCTTGCCCGCAGCAGTAATAAATGCTCCACCGCGAGCCGAGGATTCGCGACGAAACGTGCCCCCCTCTCCCCCAGACCTACACCTGTTTAGGGTTGAGGGGTTCAGGGTTTAGTTTAGGGGTTTAGGTTTTGGTGTGCTGTACTACTCATCAGAGGGGCAGCCGGAACGAAGGTCCGGTTCGAGGCTGCAACAACAACTGCTCAGGTTTTTGCCGAAGTAACGGCTTGGGATGATGCTTCAGGATGCCCTTGTACGAGAAATATGTAATATATTAATGTAGGTATGGATCGCGCTGAAGCGACTACCCGAGAACTCGGGAACAAAGAACCCTGCCATGGACGGTTCGATGCCTCGACGGCAAGCATTGATATTCATTATTTAAACAATATGCATAATGATCCGCATACAACGGAACAAAGGGTCACCAGGCGTCTTGATCCCGCGCCGAGGCGCCGAAATTCAGTTGCCGCAAGGTCACATGCGAGTGAACCCTATGCATGTAAGATAAAAACATAAGCACATGCACACACCCACATATAAATGTGCATGTAACATACATACATACATACATATGTGTGACTAATGTATAACTTATATGTAAATGGTCAACAACAACAACAACATGCACATATCAATCCATCCTTCCATCCATCCATCCATCCACCCAGCCACCCAAACAACCATCCACCCAGCCAGCCATCCATCCGTACATGCATACATACATCCATACATACGTACATACCTACATACACACATACTTACATACCTACATTCTTACATACTTTCTTATATACATGTACACATGTTCATTCATGCATACATAAGTACGTAAATGCATACATACATCCATGCACGTTGTACATACATACATACATACATACATGTCTATGCGTCTAAATGCATGAGTGTATACATACAAACATGCATACATCCATACATACAAACGAACGTAAGTACACACACGCGCACATATGTGTGTGTATACATCTATGTATTTACACACATATACGCAAATATAATATAGATAGATAGATAGATAGATAGATAGAGCCCATGATCACACTCACGCTTGTCCATAGCAAGGCTCTAAAGGTCATTCTAGGTAGAAAGAACGACAGAGCGCAGGTGGGTGTGTGTGTGTGTGTGTGTGTGTGTGCGTGTTTGTGTGTGTGTGTGCGTGTGTCGGTGTGCCATTGTGAGTTCTTATGGCGACGCAACATGTACTCCTCCTGGACGTTAATACCACTTACACGACAAAGCTCCATTCAATGTCAAGGCCATGGAACTTCTCAACTGCTTTTCTACAAGTAATTCATTTCCGTGCGAAGCTCTTCCGCACTGCTCCAACTCTCGACGAGACGGTGCTTGTATTATCCTTACGACGGTACTCGTTTTTGAAACACCCTTCTAGTATCCCGTATTTGACTGCGCCGTCTTATGGCACCCTGAAAGCATGCATTACAAAATCCACTGAAAAGAAACACCCCCCATTACAATACCCTGCTGGTACCCCTTATCGGGAGATGAGCAGCGTCACGGGAAGCATGGCATTCACGGCCATGAGTGCCATTTTCCGCAGGAGGACCTGGTGCTGCTCTTCGCAAAAAAAACAAAAGGGCTTCAGCCCTGGCGGGCGTAGCTACCCATGGTGATCTTTGCGGAAAAAGATGGATGTCTACA